GTGAACAGTAAGGATCAAAAAGGGGATTTTTTCGGTATAGGGACTAAAAAGGGGCTTTTTCCTATAGTAGAGGGACCAAAAAGGGTATTTAACCTAGATTATTTAAATAAGTTAGCTGAAAAAGCTCACACTTGGACAGGACCTAGTGCCACTGATAGTACTAGTAGGTCACGATCATTTGGGATTTACCACCTTAGGGAGGAAGATAACCTTAAAGCCCAATTAGAAGTTGCAACTAGGGAACTTGAGACCTTAAAAATGAAAAATAAAGTCACCCACACAGTTGCTAAGGTAGAAGCTTAGGCTCCATGTTTTGTTTGTGGGGGATTGGATCATTTAGCTCAGGATTGCCCAACTTATGGTGAGATGAGAGGGGTGTATGAAGAACAATGTAATGCATTAGGAATGGTAGGGAAGTTTTTTCACCCTATTCAGAGACATACAATCCTAGTTGGAGGAACCATCCCAATTTTAGTTGGAAGAATGATCAGAACCATCCCACATCATCCAACAATACTTGGAATAGTGAAGCTCAACCACTTAGGTCTTACCCTACACCTCAATACAATGCACGACCAGATAGAAATCCTTTAGAGGAAACACTTAAGGCATTTATGGAGGCACAAAATAAGACTAACCAAAACTTTGATTCTATTCTTACACAGGTGGTTGAAGAAAACAAGGACATCAAGAGTCAACTAAGTTGACCAATGCTCTTACTATCTAAGAACGAGGTAAGATTCCATCTCAACCTCAAGCTAATCCTAAAATTTTACACTTTGTGCAGGAATCTACCTCTAATTCAGAGAACATTAAAGGGGTCAATGCTATCACTACTCGTATTGGTAAGGTTATAAAGCCATTGCAAAAATCACCTCAATTGAAGGACACTACTCCAAGTAGCCATGAAGACGACCTGTTGGAAGAAACTGAGAAGGAGGTCCCAATTCAAGTTCCTTTCCCTTAAGCTCTTAAAATTGGAAAGATTTCAGACAACCAAGGTGAGATTTTAGAAAATTTGAAACAAGTTAAGATTAATCTACCTTTGTTGCATGTGATTAAACAGGTACCAACTTATGCCAAAGTGATCAAGGATCTATGCATCATGAAAAGGAAACACCATGTCAAGAAAACTGCATTCCTGACAAAGTAGGTAAGTGCGATGATTGAGCAGAAAACACTGCCAAAGTACAAAGATCCAGGGTGCCCAACAATTTTCTACCAAATTGGATCACAAGAGTTCGGTCAAGCTCTTTTGGATTTAGGAGCGAGTGTAAATTTAATGCCTTATTCAGTTTATTTGCAACCAGGTCTTGGAGAGATAAAACCCACATCTGTGGTGTTACAGTTGGCTGATCGTTCTTGTAGGAAAGCAAGAAGGACAGTAGAAGATGTTCTGCTTCAGATTGATAAATTTTATTATCCTGTTGATTTTCTTATTTTAGATACTCAATCTGAAGTTAATAGTGAGTCAAAGATTCCACTTATTTTAGGAAGACCATTTCTTGCTACTGCTAATGCTCTTATTAATTGTAGGAATGGTTTGATGAAACTTTCATTTGGGAATATGACTCTTGAGGTGAATATTTTTGATGTTGGGAAGCAACTACATCATGATGATGATGATGAGTGTTATCAAACCTACATGATAGATTCACTGGTTGAGGAAGTATATGAAAGGGAAAATTTTGAATCTTTAGAATACCTCCTTGGTGGCTCTGATTTGGATGTTGACTTTTTGAACTATCCTATTACTGATCATTCTAATGTTTCTTCTATTTCTAATGTTATGCAGGATAAACATAGAAAATTTTTACAGCCACGCTTTGAGGAGCTGCTATATGATAGGAAACATTTGAAGCCATTTTCAATGGAGATGCCAAGCGTTGAGTTACCCCCACCTTTTGAAATATTGAAGCATGCGTTCTTAGGAGATTCATTCAAATTATTGGACAATGGTTGAAACATTATATGGAACGAGTAGACTAACTTGAGGAGATCATTCTTGTGGCTCCATCTACGATGCTTAATCAGGTTCTATCTTTCCATCATATCATTTTTTTTTCTTTTGTTTGTTTTTGTTTTGCTTTTTCATAGCTTTTCTTTTAGTAGTTTCTTTATTTATTTATTAGTTTTCTAGGTTTCCTTCCTTAGTTATTACATTTTAGGGTTGCCTTTGTTTCTTTTATGCTAGTGAGGACACTGTCCTGTTTAGGTTGGGCCTGATAGCATTGCCTGCACATTTTAGGCATACTTTTTATATACATTATCTTCAAAAAAAAAAAAAAAAAGAAGGAAAGAATGAAAAAAATGAAATTCCTTTTACTTTGGTAATTCTTGTGTGAAAGGGTTTGCAAAGTATGACTATTTTTGATTTTCTACCTAGGTATGATTTCAAAATTACTCGATTTAAGTCAATTTCTCTATCTTGGTTATTAAAGAGTAACTTCTAAAAACTTTTTGGCCATAATACTAAGCTTGTGGTTAGATGGATGTTCAATATGGATAGCCAAGAGAATTATCAGGTTTAAGTGCATTGTTTTGTTATACTCACACATCTTTTGTGAGTGAGTGGAGAGCTGAGAAAATAACTTATGAACTTTCATTGCTTAGTTGAATTGGTTAGTTGCTATTTAGAATGTCACTACTCATTTGGAGGAATGGTTGAATGATTAGCTTAAAAAAAAAAAAAGAAGAAAGAAGAAAAAAAAAAGAGAGAAAAAGAGAGAGAAAGAGAGCTATTGCTATCAAATGTGAAGCCTTTGGAATAGTTCATGTGATATTAGTTATGTGAGAAATTCTATGCTTTCCCTCCTTTGTTTTAGAAGATTCAAAAAAAAAAGTTGAAAAAAAAAAAAGCAGAATGAAAAAGAAAAAAAAATAGAAAAAAAAGAAGAAAAAATTCTACCAAATAAAGTCTTCCATCAATTTAGAAGACAAACTTGCTTTTGAGGGAGCAGTTTTTCTCACTAGGCTCTACTTGTATTGCTCTCATATTTAATTGATTGAAATCCTGAAATTAGTTTGGAGTACGAGTAGTGGAATTTTGAAGAGCTAGCTAGCCTATCTTCTAATTAATGTTTGTTTGTTTGATTGTCTGTTAAATTTTGCCTTTTCCTTTGAGTGATTTGCTGCTTTCCAACTCCATGAGAGAAGTCCTTTGCCTTAAACAGTTATTAACCTATGAGGATATGGAGTTGAGGCTGTTACTTTGATTAATTCTCAAGGCTATATATGTACTGGTTTGTGGTATGAAGGTTATGCTTAGTTCACACACATACACTTTTGGAAGTTACAATTGAAGTAATCTTGATAGCGAACGTGATCTTTTTCTAAATACATAGGTAGTCTTGCTATATATCCATTTGAGCTAATCAGCATGCTTTCTCTCCTAATTCGCGCTTGAATTATTGGAGACTAGCAATAAGCTGGTTGGGAGTTGCGATGAAAGAAAGAGGGTTTAGGGTTTAGGGTTTAGGGTTTAGGGTTTAGGGTTTAGGGTTTAGGGTTTAGGGTTTAGGGTTTAGGGTTTAG